TTTTTTTTTTTCATGGGGCCATAAGTATTACCCGCAGGCCTGAAAAAGTCGAATCTAAATGTAAGAGGTCGTAAATGAGCAGGGAATAATCCCCCCAAAATTTCAGCTTTCTAAATTCCGTGGTTTCCGGGACAATAATTTACCCCCCTAAAACTTTTACGGGGCCGGATATGTCTGTTACGCGCCGGCTTAGGAAGGCTGAATTCAAATTTCTGGATCGCACGTAGGCAAGCGGCATACCGACAAAATTTTAGCTTCCTAAGCTATCCAAAGATTAATTTACAGTTTGTGAAATACGAAAAGAAAAGGTAATAAATTTAACGTGGAATGTCCTGCCTGTGAAGTATTTGGCAAAAAAGCAATTAAACATTACATGACAGAAAACTGCATAAGTGGCGCATGCGTTTTTCATGAACTGGAGCTGTGAGGAGTCTCAAGAAAAGAAATGGGACAGATGGAGCATCAATTTCTATTGCCCCTACATCCTTCCGGACGACAGTACTAAGCATCACTCTGGCTTGTGGTGAATAACAGCAAAATTTTGCATAGAGCAGCAGCAGCATAGGAAAACGACAGCATTTTGGGTAAATCCAAAAGGTGCGGGAACGAATCACGAGAAGATTCTGAAAGAAGCAGAATATAAAAAAGCAGTAAGCTGACCTTCGCGTGCTCCTCGATGGCGACGAGGTCGGCGCGGAACCGCTCATTGATCTTCTCCTCCTCCCGGCAAAACTGCGGATGCTGCATAGTCCGCAGCTGGGCCATCTCCTTCTCCAGATCAGCACGCATTCGACGATAGCGCCTGCAACAAACAGTCAGTATAATGGTTCGCGACATCCCCACTGATAGATACATGCAAGCAAGATATCCCCTGGCAGCAGCAAGAGCAGCAGCAGCAGCAGTAGCAGCAAAAGCAGTAGCAGTTAGTTGTTAAAGTGACCGGAAACACCGGACCAACCGTTCTATGCATGTGCCGTGCAGCTGGATCGGAATTGGTCCTCCAGCAGTCGTGAACCTGTTGCGAATGCGCTGATAATAACGCATCCGTTGCTATTCACACAACCACCGCAGCACAACAATAACGAACAGGGGTCAACTAAATGACTGCCCCCAGCTGCCTGCAACGAGAGGACCACTGACCAGTGCAGCTGGCCCAGCGCCAGCTGCGCCCGCATTGTTCCAGACGGGAGCACTTAACAGTTACTGTATTCTCTGGGTTCCTGCACAGACAATCCTTCGGCTGATATCCGTACTTCGGGTTTCCAGGGTTTCGATGGGATGTTCGCCCACTTGGAGGAGGAGAGGATTAATACCCTCACCCCGTACGGTATGTTACGATTCCCCTGAAACGTAAAGTATTCCCACCTCCCCGCTGCACCTCCCATCGACCCCGCTCTGTCTCGGCCCGCTTCACTTGAAGGGCCACACCACACTTACTGCCACTGGCCCTCCAACACGGTGGAGAGCTGGGCTGAGTTCTAATAATTACTCTGCACACGTTTTGCACTGTTGTAATTTTTATGTGTTTTGTGCTGTGCAACAGCTGCAGAAAATAAATGTTGTCACGGAGTTGTCTGTATGTGCGCGTATGTATGCGTGCATGCGTGTATGTATATGATGTGTGTGTACATGTACGCGTGTGTGTGTGTGTGTGTGTTTGTATGTGTCTCAGATGCATATTGTTTATAACTTAAAACGCATGTGGTCCTCCATGCTTTGCTCGAGTTGACATAGCACATGACTTGCTCATTCGCGGTCACATTTTTCCACTGCGGTTTTTGAGTTGCTTGGACATTGCGCGCCTGGCGTTCCCAGAAAGGTATGCAAACAGATCCGGAGACCAGTGATCGAAAGTTCGGGTTGCTGGTGAAGCTCTGTGCGCGCTCGGCTCAATTAGAATTGCTGATTGATTATTTCTTATAGCACGTGATTTGCGTTTGTTTTGGGCTTCGTGCTTGATGGCATCGCGAGAAGGACGCATATACGTTGGCAATTTGCCGATAAATATTCGTGCCAAGGATGTGGAAGATATTTTTTCGAAATATGGCAAAGTGTTATATGTGGACTTGAAGGATCGTCGTCCCCCATATTTTGCCTTCGTGGAGTTCGAAGATCCGAGGTTCGTGTCGCTTCTTCTTTTCCTTTTTTTTTGCCCATAAATTTGTGTATGTTGCGGTTCCATCTCTCGGACTGTTCATTCAGGAATTAAACACCTAGTCAGCACTCTATTCTCATAAAAAGTGTTCCTCTGATAATTGACATATAATGATTATCCGTACCACACGTTAATTCCTCTTCTTTCTCCCCTCTCTCACCCTGTTTGCTCTCCCACTGAATCTCTTTGTTTCGCATATCTGTCTTGCAGATCAGTCACATGAATGTTCAGAACGTGGCGGGTAGGAAGCTGTACTGATGATTCCCATTCTTACCTGCATGCACAATTTGGTCTGTGCATGCAGCTAAGGGATGAAAGACGGACTGCATCATAAAATGTCTTCATGCACGTGACATTCAAGTCTAATCCCTCTGTTTTTCTATTCCATCCTGAGACTGTTCCGAAAGCATTTCTTTGTTGCTTTCGTTGTCATTCGATACCAAAACTGTATTTTTTG